AGCATATCGCCGCTCTATGTACATACATACATTGCGTGTGTGTACATAAAAAAACATTTATGTGGGGGCGTGATATTCTTGAAGGATCTACGACAAGAAGGGGTTTGGCCTCGTGGTTTTACGGGGATCAGGGCACTTGACATGTCCAAAGGGTTCGCGTAGGGTTTGGGGCTTTACAGGAACCCTAAAACCCAAACCCTGAACCCAAAACCCGAACCCAAAACCCAAAACCCCATACCCTAAACCCCAAACCTTAAACCCTAAACCCTAAACCTCAAACCCTAAACCCCAAACCCTAAACCCCAAACCCTAAACCCCTAAAACTCTGAAACCCTAAACCTTAAACCCTAAAACCCTAAACCCTAAAACCCTAAACCCTAAAACCCTACACCCCAAACCCTAAACCCTAAACCCTAAACCCCAATCATAAGATGCTGCTTTAGGGGGCTCCAAGTTCCGACCTGCGAGGGCGCGACGCTTTCGAGGAGCATCGCGCAACAGCAGGCAGGCCCAACTGAATCTAGGGGTTAAGGGTTTAGGGTTTAGGGTTTAGGGTTTATAGGGTTTAGGGTTTTTTGGGTTTTAGGGTTTTAGGGGTTTAGGGTTTTCAAGGGTTTTAAGGGTTTTTTTTTGGGTTTTTAGGGTTTTGGCAGGCCTTGTTGGGGCTATTTTACAAATGATCATTTTTCATCCTTAGTGGGTTTTAGTACAACAAAATTGTAAAATCTTGCTCATGGACGGTCGAGGGTTTAGGGTTTAGGGTCTTTGAGGGTTTTAGGGTTTTTAGGGTTTTAGGGTTTTAGGGTTTAGGGTTTTTAGGGTTTTAGGGCTTTAGGGTTTTAGGGTCTTAGGGTCTTAGGGCTTATAGGGTTTAGGGTTGAGTGCAGGGCTCTGAATCGCCTCTAATGATTGCCCCTTGTAGTCACTTTGTAGCTCTTGTACCATAGCATTGCCCCTTGTAGTCACTTTGTAGCTCTTGTACCATAGCAAACCCTTCAAATCCTATTCTAGTTCTTGATAGGCTCTCGCTTGTTTATTGGGTTGGGGTGTCGGAAATCTGGGCATTTCCCGGTTTGCTCAGCCAAATTTACCACCAATAAGGAAAGCCAGTAGTTTGCCATGTTTTCCGGTTATGCTACAGCAGGAACCCAGAAAATTGGGACATCAGTCTCCTCACACCCGAAACGTAAGGAAGGAATCACGTCACAATCATCCATCATCCATGCTTCATGTCTCTGGGGCTCACTGCATCTACAAAAAGAATTTTAAACGCTTCGCGTCGTCCGCCTCGGCCCGGCCGCAAACAAAGAGGGCCAACGAACTGCTGGTGCTGAAGGCGCCGTTGGCGGAGCGGATGGGGAGGAGATTGCGTTCGGCGGCGCATCAACGGAACCCAGACTGCCCTAAATCCTGGTTCGTGAGCAATCCCTAGTTTTCCCCAGCCCCTTTCCGAGCACGGCGGCTCTGACACCTGTAGAATCGTAGGTCGCCCACTAGGGACAGCTCCACCCTATAAGCTGGAACTCTAGTTTGTGGCAGAGTGCACTTCGCGAAAAGCTGCTCTTTACCGGAAAGCCCAGGCATTCCGGGACTCTGTCGTACCCAGAGAGGCCACGACCGACTCCGACGGGGCCTTCCGGTGGATCTTCCGGGTCTGTCGAGCCGGCCAAGGGAGCACCATGACAATGAAAGCGCTGAGCTCTTAAATCCCCATGCCCTTAAGCCCCTAAAGCTCAAACGCCCTACGCCGCGGCCGAAAACAGCTTGCAATTGTAAAGTTCTAAAGCCTGAAACCCAAAGAATACGGAGTTGAATCCTCAAAAGCCCAAAGCCTTGCACCCCAAATTCTGAACCCTAAACCCCAAACCCCTAAGCCCTAAACCCTATACGCCCTAAACCCTAAACCCCAAAGCCCTAAACCCTAAACCTTGAGCAGCTGTTGCGCACTTGGAGGATCATGGGGCTTAGTAAGTAAGGTTTAGGGTTTAGGGTTTAGGGTTATAAGTCCCCTAATCGGGGTTATAAGTATAGTTACCGTAGTTATAACCCTACTTACTAAGTCCCATGATCCTTTAAGCAAAACCCTTCCAGCCCAAGACCTTTGCAAGGCCGGGTTGGCGTCGCAGAAGCTTCTGAAAGAGGCCTCGGCTTGAAAGGAGGGGCCGTAATAATTACCTACATTCTCTTGGGGACTCCTTGCCATAATTCCAAAAATAATATGCCGCGAAACTTTGCTCAAAGAATAAAGGCCCCTATATTGGGGGTTAACCAGGCTTTGGGTTTAGGGTTTGTCAGGCTTCGGGT